TTTAATTTTCCAAAAAGATTTTTAATTATAGTAATATAATGTACCAGATGCTGATCAGAGGGATGTGGGTGGGATGTAATGCCAGAGTAAAGTAAAGCCACAACTTACACAACAGTGCTCAGATCTTTTTTCCTGACAAAATCAATATAATGCAATATTTCTATGCTGAATGTAAGCTTTTCCATATTCCAATCTTGCCTGCTGCACTGGGGACATCACATGCATGTGCGAGTCGTGAAAATTATGAAAATAAATCTAGGAATTATTTGATTTTTGGATTTTAAATCAGCGGGGTTGAGGTATCAAAAGTAACTAAGTAACTAAGCTGTTTTATGGATGGTAACTGTAATATTATTACTGAAATCGTATTAGTAATTAGTTACACTACTAGCTACTGCAAAAAGTAATATTATTACACTAAGTTACTAGTTACTGCCCAACACTGCTGTCTAACTAAATGAGAAATGTAATATTTACATGTAATATTTATTTAATATTTGTATTTTATTTTTGCATGTCAAAACATTTTTGAACAGAAAGTAAGTTTTCTTGTGTAAAACATGTACATTTAGTAAATATTGTTTTGTGAAAAAAAAAATGGGATAGACAGAGGATTAGCCGTGAATTATTGAATAAAGCATGTTTTTCTACAGAGGCAGTGTGTCATGCTCCGATGTAAGCTGTGCATAACTAAATGTATTTTTCTGTAGCTTTATTTCAATTGATAGCAGACACTCTGTAATATTATTATGCATATTAGTTTTACCTTTGTTTTTATCTCATTTATTCTTGCCTAAGGAGGACAACCACTTATCTCATTCTCCCCCTACAATGTAAATGTATTTCAACAACACTTGGAGAACTCAGGGTGACTTGTGCTCCAGCAGCTGTTATCTCCTGAAGATTACTCACAAAAGAATAGTTTTTAAGACACAGTCAATCTAAACAACTTATGAGTTAAGAGAGACAGTAAAAAATAAGAGTGACTTAAGCTGAAATACTTAATAATCATATGATGAACATGCCACTTGATTTGTTATGCTGTTTCACCTCCTTTTAGCGCCATCTACTGGCACATCAGTTACCTAGCTGATATTTTTGATTATCATCTCAGGGTCAGTCAAAAGGCTTATTATATTTCAATTCTATAGAATTCCTGTAGATTTCTAGGTCTTTTAGTTGCTGATGTCTAATTTCCTGCCAAGATCCAAAGCCCAAAGACTTAATCACGTGGTCTTGGACTTGCGGTGTCTTTAACATGGTCTCAACAACTGAAGTCTTGGTCTGGATCTGGGTCTTTTGGTCTCTGGCAAGACTAGGGTTGCCACCCGTCCCTTAAAATACGGAATCGTCCCGTATTTTAATGATGTGTTCCGTATCAAATCAATACGGGACGCGATTTGTCCCGTATTTTTACAAAGGCCGACAAAGCTGAATCAACAAATAAGTATTTTAGGCGCCATCTAGCGGCAAAGCAACTCATTCAGGTGTGTTTGACATTAATAATAAAGACCTTGAATGTGTTCTCGTTGTTGGGTTGGTAACTTTTTTTTTAATAAGGCATTGCTTTCCTTTGCATTCCTTTGCTTTGCATACAGTGTAATCTTATCAGTAAAATATGTGAACGTTTAAAAGGTGATTATTCACTAAGTGTAGCAGTCAAAGGTCACAAGCCTGCCTGACCCAGGATAAGAGTTTGAGAGTTCTGCTCATGCTCACAGAGAGTCATGCTTGAAACATGTAAGTATGAGGTTATGAGGTTCTGATATAATTATTATTTTTTTTTTTTTACTGTTTATACCTATATGTATTTTTGAATTTAGAAAATATTTACTACAGCTATTATTGCCAGAACAATAGATAAAATGACAGAAAGAGCTTCATACTTTTCCGTTGATTTCATTTAGTGTGACTTTACAGAACTAACAATGGTGTTTTGGCCTAAACTCCAATTATTTTTAGATACAGAATTAATTTACTTTTAGTTTAGCATATAACCTTTTATTTTAAATGATTAAAATATATATCTAATTTCACTTCCACAAGTGTATCTATTTTATTAGACATAATAATAGTAAATGCAGTTTTATGAGATCATATTAATTAAGAGAATACATTAATATTACAAGCACAACTGTGATATAATAATACAACAATCTATATAACAGTATTGTTGTCGTTGTTGTTGTTGCTGTTGTTTTGCAATCAGCCATGATTCATTTATTCCACAAGTGAAAGTGAAAAAAGAGAGGAGTTACATAACATTTAAAAAACAAAACAAAATAACAGCTTTTATTAATCTACTGATATGACTTGAGTCTCCATCTCAAATATAAATACTTTTTAAAGTTACATTTATTTATTGGTGTAAAATTATATACAATATATATAAAAAAATAATAATAAGCAAAGCGATAAGAATTAAAAATCAAAGTAACAAACAAACAAATATGGCTTTTTATCATTTACCCCCCCCTCCAAAACAAACAAACAAACAAAAAAAACAATCTGTGTTTTGATTCCAAAATGTTTAGTAGACAGTGCTGCGGCCCCTTTAAGAGATCAACGGACGCGTCTAGGAGATCTGCCCGTCTGCTGTGTGTGTGAGTTCGGTGACATCAACAAGACACGCAGATCCGTGTTCTCTGGGGGGGACTGACATTAACTCACACATAATCAAGACCCTTGGGACATCGCACACCTCTTTTAGACAGCAGAGGGGAAGAGCGTCGCTGCTGCTCAGGGATCTGGTGTATATTTACAGCCGTTTTCCAGCAGGTGTTACTGAAGGATCTATCACAGACTATCAGCAGGGTTCATGAAACTTTGCTACGATTTGCGAGCTGGGTAAGCGGATCTTTGACATGTGTCCTTTAGTAATATACAAGAGGGCAACAGGCGATTTGCAGTATGCGTCTACAGGACTGTGATAATTCATAGATGAAATCATTTCTATTCTGAGAAACGATCTTTAAAATGAAACTGTTCATATCTGTGTCAGTGTCGCACTAAGACCCGCAGATTTAAATAGCTAAGTATGTGCACGTCATGATCGAATGTGTCATCGCTTTGTTTAATGTCACATTTAAATGCGTTCCTGGAACGTGACCGTTAGTCTGTCATTCAGACACGTTGATCTTTGGAACAAAATGTATCATTCTGTAGAACACAGAACATACTGAACACATATATCCACACAACAACGGCCTAGAGTGGTTACGTGAGTTACTGATGTTGCGATGATGAACACGGATCGTCGCGTGATTCTGAAAGGAAGTTATTCATTGGTTATTTATCTATTGATCCATTGACTGATTCATTGACTCGTTCACTGATGCATTGGTCTGAACTGATCCATCTATTCATTGTTCCGTCAAGACATGATAGATTGAATCACTCATTAGTGGATTTGATTGATTTCCTGTATTGTAGACCCATTGCTCTGTTGATTCATTGCTCTACTGAGTCAATGATTAATTTAGCATTGTAAAATCAACTGATTTATTGAACTCAGTTGAATAATTGATCCATCGATTCATTGATATATTGTTTCATTGATCTGTTGGGTCATTAATTAATCTTTTGATTATTGGATCTATGGATTCAATGATTAATTTACCTATTGAGTCACTGAGTGATTTATTGTGAAATAAATTGAATCATTGAAATCAATTAAATAATTGATCCATTGATTCGTTAAATCATTGATTAAATTATCTTTTGATTAACTGATCCATGGAATAATTGAAATATTTACCTGTTGAGTCACTGATTCATTTACTCATTCTGAACAAAACGGAATCATTTAAATAAATCGAAGCATTGATATATTGATTAATTGATCTGATAAGTGATTGATTAATTAATCATTTGATTAATTGATCCACAGATTCATTGACTTACTGAGTCACTGGTTCATTTACCCTTTGTGAAATCAATTAAAATATAAAAATAATGGAATCATTGATCCATAAATTCATTGATCTGTTGTTTAATATATGAATTAATATTTTGATAAATGAATCCATAGATTTAATAATTCACTGCCCTATTGAGTCACTAATTAAACCATTGTGAAATCAACTGAATCATTGGAATCCACTGAATCATTGATCCATTGTTTCATTGATCATTTGTGTCATTGATGATTTAATCTTGTGATTAATTAATCCATGGCTTTATTAATTCATTAACCTGTCAGTCACCGATTCATTTGTCCATTAGGAAATCAACTAAATAATTGAAATCAGTTGAATCACTGACCCATCGATTCATTGATCTGATGTTTTATTGATTTATTGAGCCAATGATTTTTATTACATTTTTTAAATTAATTGGTCCATGATTCATTTATTCATTTGATCACTGATTGATTCAGTCATTTTCAGATTCACTGGTTTCAGATTAAACTGTTTTCTCAAGCAAACCATTTCTTTGATTACAGGTGCATCTCAATAAATTAGAATGTCGTGGAAAAGTTAATTTATTTCAGTAATTCAACTCAGATTGTGAAACTCGTGTATTAAATAAATTCAATGCACACAGACTGAAGTAGTTTAAGTCTTTGGTTCTTTTAATTGTGATGATTTTGGCTCACATTTAACAAAAACCCACCAATTCACTATCTCAACAAATTAGAATACTTCATAAGACCAATAAAAAAAATTTTTTTAGTGAATTGTTGGTCTTCTGGAAAGTATGTTCATTTACTGTACATGTACTCAATACTTGGTAGGGGCTCCTTTTGCTTTAATTACTGCCTCAATTCAGCGTGGCATGGAGGTGATCAGTTTGTGGCACTGCTGAGGTGGTATGGAAGCCCAGGTTTCTTTGACAGTGGCCTTCAGCTCATCTGCATTTTTTGGTCTCTTGTTTCTCATTTTCCTCTTGACAATTAAACCCCATAGATTCAGGTCTGGTGAGTTTGCTGGCCAGTCAAGCACACCAACACCATGGTCATTTAACCAACTTTTGGTGCTTTTGGCAGTGTGGGCAGGTGCCAAATCCTGCTGGAAAATGAAATGCCATTCTGCGGTCAGATATGTTTGTATAGTTGTGCTGAATTGTATAATTGACGTTGTCCCAGCTAACCCATTTTCTACATGGCTGTTCTAGATTCTTGTATCAGTGCACAGTCATCCTTTACGTAAGGACGTTCAAACCAAGAACGATAACTATATTATGGTCCACACCAACGGACAGTAACATTCTGTTTATTATAAGCACGTGCATAGTTTTGTCTGTTGCTTTAAATGCTCAAGTTCTTTATGGACCACTGGTCCAGTTCTTCTTCTCCTTAGCCCAGGTAAGACGCCTCTGACATTGTCTGTGGTTCAGGGTTCAGGAAACAAGAGACATTTCCTCATTTTCATTTTCATTTTCCCCATGATTGTGTAGCCTAGTGAACCAAACTGAGAGACCATTTTGAAGGCTCAGGAAACCTTTGCAGGTGTTTTGAGTTGATTAGCTGATTGGCATGTCACCATATTCTAATTTGTTGAGATAGTGAATTGGTGGGTTTTTGTTAAATGTGAGCCAAAATCATCACAATTAAAAGAACCAAAGACTTAAACTACTTCAGTCTGTGTGCATTGAATTTATTTAATACACGAATTTCACAATTTGAGTTGAATTACTGAAATAAATGAACTTTTCCATTGC